ACTTTTCTGCATTTAATGAGTGACGCCTTCTTAAGCGCAGTCCCTTAGCTTACACGGGGCAGATAATTAGCCTTGAATGATATCCCACCTTGATTAAGCGCTGTTTGATCAGCTGACGATGAAGAGCCAATAGCCAATCCCAGCCAGGAAACAGTGCATCTAGAGTCGACGAAGCTTCTCTTTCTCGTAGCCATGGTTTCCGCTCCGCCACCTACGCTTCCTCGGTCAGGCATGGTCGAAGGCCGTCGGACCCGCTATCGGAATGCATTTCTCTTATTTCCTTACAGTTCTCAGCATTATCTTATTAAAGTAGACCATTGCTCCCTTATTCCCCCTACCCCCATTTCCCTTTTATTCCCCACTCCCTCTCCCCTTTCCCCTTCCTTCGTCTCTCACATAGCTCATAATGCTTAATCCCTCCCGTCCCTCCCATTTCTTCTTCTCCTCCTTCTACTTCTAACATAAATAGGGCCTATGTAGTTGAAATAATGTAGATCGCGTCTCCACCTCCTGTATGTAAATCTCCCCCTTCTTACAGTAGGTTTTAGGGCATGGAATGGCGAGCGAGTGACTGTCGCGTTGTGTGGGCGTCATCCTACGCGGTGCGCCCCCTCGTGGACAATCACAATCACTCACCCTTATTACATCCAGTTATCGCTTAAGTTTACCCACCTCTTGCAGACCACTTTTATAGTCTGCTTCGCGTTCTACCACCTACCATCACATCACCTCTTTGGTAGTGATTTCCGTATCGCGTTTCCATATTGTATCATTGTTCATGTACCACCATTACGCTCACCGCCCTGTACTCATCATCATCATTTCCTATACATCATCGCAATCACCACCACACGCAGTAAATTGTGGCGGCCTGGGTGTGGCAAGGGCTATCACGATTTCCCAGAATAGATGTTCACGACGATATGTTTTATATAAGGTTATTAGGGTGTATTTGTGTTTGCCTTTCATTTTTGTTTTGTTTGTTTTTATTTTTTGTTTATATTGTTTCCGGTGCAACCACATCATCCTTATTTGACTCTGTATCATTAAAAAAGTTTATGATATTTCATTACCGTTATTATTACTACCGGTATTACTACTACTACTACTATCATCATCATCATTACTATAATTATCGTTATTACTATTATGAAATTACATTATTATCATTATCATTTCATCGTCATTGTCGTTATCATTATTACTATTATTGTATTATTATCATTTATTTTGTTATTATTATTTTTGTTATTGTTATTAATGTTATGATAATGGAAATTATTAATATTTCTATTTTTTGTTATTGTTACTATTATCATTATTATCGTTGTTATTATTATTATTATTGTTATCATCATCATCATCATCAATCATTCATCATCAATCATCATCATCATCATCATCATCATCATCATCATCATTATTATTATCCTTATTATTTATATTATTATCATTTTTATTATTTTTGTTATTATTACCATTATTGTTGTTGTTATTCCTGTTATTATTATTATTTTTATTGTTATAATTATCATTGTTATTATTATTGTTATTATTATGATCTTTATTATTACGATTACTGTATATTAATTGTTATTAACGTCACCAATATGATTATCATCCTCATAATCTTATAATGTTATCATTATCATTATCATCATCTTCATAATTATTATTATTATTGTTATTATTATTACTGTAACAATAATTATTATTGTTACTATATAATGATTATATTATTATTATCATGTTTTTTATTCTTATCATTTATCATCATTGTTCTTATTCCTATTCTCATTCTCACTGCTATTTCGTTATCCTTATCATTGCTGTCTGCTGTCCTTAATTTTATTTTTGTTAGTATCATATTATTATTGTTTTTTTGTCGTTTTTATCACAATTATTACTAGGAGTTGATATCCATCATCATTATTATCATCCTCATCATTATCATTATTCATTATTGATAGGGTGATCTGGAATTGTCGTTCATTTTTTTATTATTATTATTATCTTTTTATTATTATGCATTTATCACGTCTACCCACATTCCTCTTTTCGCTTTGTTTAGTTTCATCCACGCGCCTATTAGAAAAGAATTTGCCAGTCGCGCTGTCAATTCTATTCCACTTTTGCTTTCATATTGTTCCGCTGTTGCATCATCCACTCCGTCCAGCTACTGTCCACATGTCCGCTACCTCCACTTCCTCAACCATCTATTCTCCTCTTCCTTTCCTTCTTCTCCTGTGAATCCCACTTCTCTCCATTCCATCCACTTTCCTACATCCATCTCTCTCCACCTTTAACCTCCATTCTTGTTCATCCACTTTCAAGAACACAGCTATTCCTCCACATTCAACCTCTCCACCCCCCCCTCCTCGCCAACCACATCTCCACCCCACAGAACGCCTCCCCACCACTTTCCCACTACTCCCAACCCCCTCTCGCCCTCCCCACCTCTCTTCCCCCTCCCCAACCTCTCTCCACCCCTCCCCAACCCCCTCTCCGCCTCCCAACCCCTCTCCCGCCCTCCCCAACCCCCTCTCCCGCCCTCTCCCCAACCCCTCTCCGCCCTCCCCAACCCCTCTCCCGCCCCTCCCAACAACTCCCATACAGCCTCCCCAACCCTCTCCCCCCCAACCCCTCTCCCGCCCTCCCCAACCCTCTCCCGCCCTCACCTCCAACCAACCAACTCCCAACCCTCTCCGCCCCCAACCCCTCTCCCGCCCTCCCAACCCCCTCTCCGCCTCCAACCCCTCTCCCACCCCTCCCCAACCAACTCCCATACAGCCTCCCCCGCCTTAACCCGGCCCACGAACACTAACCTTCTGGGCGTCTCCCCGACAGCCGTGTCCAAAAACGAGGACGACGAGGACCTTTCCGTGTCGGGCCTCAAGCTGAACGGCTTCTCGGACGAGTACCTGGACAGAATAGAACCGAACGGCAACATCCCCGACAAGGACTGCGGTGAGTACCCTGGGCGAGCCTTGCTTTTTTCGGAAGTCGATTGGCTTTTTTTTTTGTTTTTTTTTATTATTTTTTTCCTCGTATTGGTAGTTGGATAATTGGCCTTTTGTGTTTTATCTATTTCTGTTTTGTTTTGTGGGTAGATGTATATTTAGCCTTTTTTTCTCTCTCTTTTTTTTTTTTCTTTCTTTTGTGGGTAGATAGATGTGTATTTCTTTATATGTGTGTGTGCGTTAGAGACATTTTAGGCCTATTGTTTGGAGAGCCTTAGTTCCTGGGCCGATATATCTTTTATGATTTTATCTTACTTTTTTCCTAACAGAGTGTCATTTTTTATCACTCTTTTATGCATTATTTTCACCTTTAATCTTCGAGCTGGTTCTCACAACCATTTGTTGTTACGGAAATATTATGCAGTATTATCCGTTTCTTGATGATATTATTCTTCAAATTTTTTCTTCCTAGCTGTAGAAGGACTATTGTTTTGAATCATTTGATTTAATTACCAATCAACCAATTTTTAATTACGGTACCTCTAGCTTCTGATCACATTAAGTATCATTTACCGGGTCATATGTGATCTGAAGCAAACGTCACATGAATTGCAACTCCAGGTCACCAGTCTGTTGCCGTAACATATGTAACGGCGACTGTGTTTGAGACCTGTTGCTGTCCCTTGATTTATCTTCCCTTCTGTCTTGGTCCAGGAACTAGCACTTTGGAGCTGCTTTTATATGGTTTTCTTCCGTAATGCTAAGAAAGTTAACATTATGAACGGTTATATATATATATATATATATATATATTATATATATATACATATATATTATATATATATATATATATATAATATATATATGATGGTATGTATGTATACATACATACATACATACGCACACACGCATATGTACATATATATATTTATATAATATATATATAATATATATATATATATATATATATATATATATATATATATATATATATATTATATATCATAATATATACATATATATTACATATGTATCTATATATGTATATACGTATTATATACTATATACATAATATATACTATATATATAGTATATATGTCGTGTGTGTCGTGCTGGCTGTGTGTGTGTGTGTGTGTGTGTGCTGTGTGTGTGTTTGGTGTGTAACCCCCACGCCTAAGCTATACATATGAATAGTCAATATATGTATATTAATATGTTAGAGCCCATCATAACATCCACGGTTGATGTATACTACTATGATATAATAGTTATAGCTTATATATACGTATATAATTAGTATAATATACTCTTCACTACGTATATATATATACTACAGTTATATATACTACTATATCTATTATAATGGTTAATATATATATGATACACATTTATTGCATATATGCTATGATATTATTACTCCTATACTATATATAATATACTATATTAATATATATATATATATATATATATATATACATTATGTGTGTGGTGTGTGTGTGCTGGTTTGTGTGTGATTACAGTCTGTGTTGTGTGTTGTGTGTGGTGTCGGTTGTGGGATGAGCTGCTGTGTGTAGCTGTGTGTGTTCTGTGTCTGTGTGAGCTGTTGCTGTGTGTGTGGTGTGTGTGTGTGTGTGTGTGTGTGTGTGTGTGTGTGTGTGTGTATTTACCTATATCTATTATATAATTATATACCCATATCTAATAATACTATAGTATATTATATTATTAATATTATCGTATTATATATATATCATATATATATATAGTATATATATATATAATATATATATTTAATAAATATATATATGTTATATACATTGTATATCAATCCATTAATCATATCAATGATATCATATTATATCATATAATTATATACACTCCTATCTTATTCTAATCCATATAATAATACTACTATTATATAGTAGCACCTATATACTACACTGATTATACACCTCTTATAATACTTATCTATATATACTACTATTAATATATATATATATATACTATATCATCGCGCCTATACACTATACTTAATAATAA